ACTTCTATTGCAGTTCCTCTGCGGTCAAATCCAACTCCGCGCAGCCATTTCCGAATTCGTTTTGCTTTCGACAACGGAAAGCTCTCTTCCTATTCGCTTTATTCAATTTCGTTCGAATATTATCGTTCAAATTCGAATCGATGTGGTTGAAAAGTTTCGAGCATTGTTGTGTGCGACAAGTTCTACCGGGCATCTATCTGAATGGCGCTCTGGCCGTACCTTATATTACCAGGTGATTGAATTCATCAGTTCAATGTTGCTCAAAGTTATAATCATTTAAATGCAGATTCTTTTAGATTCAAGCACATCTGTCATCATTCGCTTTCTCATTTCTGAGTTTTACGGGAGAGCGTTGAATGAGAGAAGCTGAAGTGAGCACTTCAATGAAATAAGCTCAGAAAAGCCGAAAAAAAATCTTCAATTCAAAGAATCTGGTTTTGCGAGCTCTTTTCAGCACAACTTCAATGCGGCCTTTCTTGTTGGCTCAAAGAATTCGCATTTTTTAAATGTTCGCTGATAAAAGCATTGTGCATTGAATTTGTGCATTGAGCAGCCGTTATTTTGCTTTTTTTGCAGTGCATTGAGTTCAAATACCGTTCGCAATAATCCAACGTTGTTTCATTAATTACTTTTTTCAATGTTATTTCTCATAAGTGAACTCGAAACATAACAGCCCTCATTTCATTTATTTTCGACAATATTACTGCAACCTAACAGCTTGTCTAAGCATTGGACTATTTGTTATATTGCACGATGAATGTTTTGGTGAATGCCTCTTGAATTCGTTCGTTGTTCGATGATGATAACGATCGATCGTAGCTCTGCACGATATTTGATTCATTCATCGTGGACGTTGAAGGATTGCTAGACATTATTGAAATGCCCGAATTGAAGAAGTACTTTCGTTAACATAAAAATTGAGTTTATGAAACGTAGCGGGGGTTTGCATAAGGCTTAAAAGTTGAAGACTCGCCAATTGTCATAGGGAAGCGACAAAACGACGAAGAGATGACGTAGCGTGAATCGATTTGCTCAGTGAACTTAGTATAGATTCTTCCCTGTGATCTTTGAAATGTCTTCAGATTGAGATTCTCTTCAAACGTCCAGAATGTCAGCCTAAAAAATCCAAAAATTTATCGCGAATAAAATGAGATCAACAATTTGTTGTGATGTTCGTCGAACAACGAGATTACACACACGAAAATTGCAGAGAATTGTGCTCGCCTTACGTGTACGGTTATGGAGCTCATTTCATATTCACCATCACCAATGGCATATGCTCACTTTTGCTTATCTCACCGTATGCTCGCGATTTAATCGCTCTGATTCGGTTCGTGAAACAGTTTTGTATTCCAATCGGATTATGAACATTTTTAGTTAGTTGTATTGAGTCATGAGCCAATATTTGACTATGTGCGATGTGATTGCATACGTAATCACTCCGTTTTCTGGTGAACTGAATTCTTCGTCGATATTCACTTGACAAACTTTCTTTCATGGCCAATGAAGTTGAAGAATGCAATGAAGTTGGTGAAATGCAAAAAGTAGAGATGTATATTTAATTGCAGTTTTGCGCTCGCAAATTTGATTATTGGTCTTCTTAAATGTGCA